GCTCTGCTCGTCATAAGTGCACTTTCCATCTGTCCCCACACAGCACTTCTGCAATACCTTTGACTATTTTCCCTGTGCAGTATCTTTCATCCCTGTGATGTGTCCATTCCATACCTGGAAGTCTGTATCGCTTTTTCCCCTTCACACATTTTGCACATCCCCAACCTCACCCCATCTAGAAACCGCCATAGTTTATTCTATGTGTTAATGGGTCTCTTTCTGTTTTGTTTTGTGTTTTAGATTCCACACATAAGTGAAATCATAGGATATTTGTCTTTCTCTGTCTGACTTCACTTAGTATAATACCCTCTAAGTCCATCCATCCATTTTTCCAAAGAAGCCATACAGATGGCCGGCAGACACCTGGAAAGATGTTCAACATCACTCTTCATCAGGGAAGTACAAATCAAAACCACAATGAGTTTTCATCTCAGAGCTCTCAGAAAGGCTAGTATCAAAAATACAAGAAATAACAAGTGTTGGTGAGGATGTGGAGAAAAGGGAACACTCGTGCACTGTCAGTGGAAATGTAAACTGGTACAGCTACCGTGGAAAACAGTATGGAGGTTCCTCAAAAAATTAAGCATAGAGCTACCACACTATCCAGTAATTCCACAATTTGGCATTTACCCAAAGAAAATGAAAACCACTAATTTGAAAAGATACATGCACCCTTGTTTACTACAGAATTATTTACATTAACCAAGATATGGAAGCAGCCTAAGTGTCCAAAGGTAGATGAATAAAGATGATGTGGCGTTCATAGACAATGGAGTGTTACTCAGCCACAAAAAAAGAACAAGATATTCTCATTTGCAATAGTTTAAGCTTCTTGAGGATCATATATGTTTCTTTAGTCAGTATATATCAGTGTCTTTTACAGAACAGACATTTAAGGACAAATTTTGAATGAATGAATGAGTGAATGAGGAAATTACACGTGCTATCTTGCCACTCTTCCTACAAAAATAATCCAGGGACAACTAGCCTTCTCTCTACCTCCCTCCATTGACCTGGGTTTCTAAATGATGAATTAACCTTTAGATCAGAATAAAAGGGAAAAAACTTAAACCAGTTTACCTCTCTCTCTATATCTCATGTATCTCTCTATCTTCATCCTTGTGAAAACAATAGAAAACCAAGGAGGCAGGAAGGAAACAGAGGATTATAAGATTTAGTGTAACTAAGCATTTACATACTTTCTGAGGAAATATACGATGGGTATATTAGAACAGTTTTGGTAATAGGCATTAGACAATATTCTAATTAATGCATAGGTTATAAACTGACTTTTTTGAATCATTTCATCACTCTGAAGTGTTAGGGATTGGTGCACATAAGAATATTTTTATGTGTTGGAAAAAAGCATTGCTATACATCTTAGTTTCGAGGAGAGAGATATTCTCTTTATTTTCTTGGGTCACATGTGGAAGCATCTCAACAGATGATAGAACAGCATTCCTGATACACACTGACTGTTCTGTTGCAATGTGTCTTTCTAGTCCTGTGGGCATTTACCACATCAGTGAAGGGAGAACAGGGCACAAATTCAAGGGACTGGCCTAACCACACATCAGCTAAGCACAAATGCACAGGCCAGGACTTGTAGTCAATTAACTCATCGCCCTCTTGTAGTTTGTTTGAACCACTTGACCACAGTGGCTACCCAAACTGACATTCCCCTTTCTCTTCCTTGAAAGTTACCCATCTTCGGCTGGGCAGAGTCAAGAAACTTGACTATTTGATGGGGCCACTTCCTCTTGGCAAAGATGAAGAGACAGAGGCCCAAGAAGATTAATTAACAAAGTCAGTGGTAATCAAGTATTAGGATGGATAGCTCCTGATGCCCAGCTCAGTATTTTTTGCTTCTTTTCTTATAATAGTGAAAAAAAATACACAATTGAGACTGTATCAATAAATAATAATAATTTTTAAAAAGCACAAGAAAGAGAAAACACCTATGTGGCTATAGAAAAATTGCTGAAGGAAAGGTGAGAAGAATATGCCAGTTCCAAGAGGTCGGAAACAATACATCATAATTTTTCTTGATCCCGGGAGCCTCATACTATGCTGAGTTTGTCATAGGCTAATTAATCAAATTACACTTTTTAGTCTACCAGTTGAACTTCTACTACATTTGTAAATCCCTGGATGACCAAGATATGGCTATTTCATTTTTCAATTTCCCACAGATCCTAACATAGTTGATACTTAATAAACATTTATAATGAATTGAGCAAGTGTCATATTTTCAAAAAGCATTATTTATACTTTCATATTGCCTTTACATTTTCATTCCAGCATCATATATAATCCCAACTGTTTGTATGTCTACGTGTCAAACAACGTTCACCCTCTCCTTAAGGCATTTCCTACTTCAACATCCATGCAGTTACAAGCTGAAAACTATTCCCAAACACCACAAGAACTAAATGGCAAATGCAGAACTATTGTTAAAGAATTTTGCTCTTGAAATTGTAATGTCATAGCATTTCAGCAAGGGAAGATGAAAGGACATTCCGATCTTATGCTTAGATATTGGGATGTGGGGTTATTACTGGTTCTTTTTTATTGAAAAAAAAAATGGATAGGGTAAAATCTAACTAAAGTAATTTCAGTGTTATTCAATATTTTATTAATGGGGGAAAGCATCATTTTAACTGCAGCAATCTATAGAATTATGGACTGATTACTAGTTCAAATGACAGAGTCCTACAGTGAAACCCATAATTTTACATTACATTCTGCAAGAGATGATAGCAGGTCTCCACATATAATGGTATCGCTAGCCCGGAATCTTGTTAACACTCATAGTCTGAGAGGTAGTGCTTATCCTCTCTCGTTCTTATTTTGAATCAGAAATAAATTTTTTTCAGAGGTCTACTGGCCTTTATTCTTTGGATATGGGATTTTGGTCAATTAGATATTTTCATGGAGGTGACACCTTGGTAAGAAGTTTAAGAGTTTAAGTAGCATGGTAAAATTATAAGGAAATTAATCTTTTTTATTAAAAAATAAATTAAGAAATGCCGGTGCCTTGGTTGAACTTGCAGTTAGCTCTTTGTAGCTATTTTAGTCACCGATTCTATGGAAAGTAGCTTCAGAGTTACTTGCTTGTTACTGGGCAACAATTTATTCCAATTATAACTGAAATGTTCCTAATAGACAGTTACTGGCGGATAAAAACAGATTTTAAAAATGAACTCCTAAATCCATAGTATTTTCTCTTGATGCAAGAGGCAGAAATTATTCTAACAATTGACACTTTCTAATGTTCTGAGGTCCTTTTAGACATTTCAAGTGATTTGGGGGGCATCAGTGAGGACCCATGGGGTGGCATGGTTCAGAGCTGTTAAATGTAGAAATGACACAATTAGATTAAACAGCTACAGAGACTAGGGACCAAATGTTACCAGCGCATAGAATGCCATATTCTATATCAGATGCAAATGACATACAATCTTCAAACTTCCGTAGGAGAGTTTTCTTTAAAAAAGGTCTTAATGGACATTTGGCAACTATATTCTCGACAGTCTCCCTATTACTTTTTTTACTTATCTATTAAAAACAAAAAACAAAACACAAAATACCATAGTTAACAAACAACAATGGAGAACAGCATAAAATATCCCTTGATATCTTACATGTATTTTTCAAGGTAAAAAAGAGAAAATCTCTATTCCTAAGTTTCTTGACCCAAATCCAGCCCAACTCACAGACAAGCCTAAACCTTCCCATGTATATTCCAGCTTCCGAGGAGAGTCTGGAGAAGCTCAGATGAAGTTTGCCACATGGATATATTTTCAAATGAGATATTTGGTTTGCAAGAAAGGTTTTTTTTTGTGTTCTTCCTGCTCTATAATATTAAAATGCAGTAAAAAAAAATACACTGACCGTAGTTGCCAACTGACATAAAATTTACACGTGTCAAAGGAAGGAGGAGTACATTGATTGTGGATTTAACCTTGGGAACTTCATCACATAGTCAACAGTTACGTGTTTTGAAATGTGTCTTAAAGGATCAGATCAGTTCTCATGGAAATCAGGAGAGATGTTGCTGAAAATTTATACCATTTAGCTTCTGTTTCTTACCGTAACAGAATAACAGGCAAGAACATTGTCAGCCCCAGTCCCAGGCAGAGTCTATAGAAATACTTGTTGAATTTAATTGGGTTGAATTAAAATTTGTCCTTTTCAAGAATAAAGTTGGCATCTCCAGTTCAAGGTCCCCAAATGATCTAGGCTCTCCACAGTTGACTGTCTAATGAACTCCTGACTAGTTACAGATCAAAGGGATTAAAATGACTTTACTCAGCACTCACTTGTGTCTGTTTCATTATCTGGACTAAGGAAGTCTAGGATAATTACGGTGTAACTTAAAAAAAAAAAGTTTCATCGTTGTACTTCCTGTTTGGTGAGTAAACAACAGAACAGTTATGGTCTGTAACGGACCTATTAAAACCCTAACACCCCTACAAGCGAGTAAGTTGGAGAACTCAAGAATTCTCCCTGACAGGACACTGAAATGTCAACCCTAAACGATCAACAACTCATTGCCATAGTGCGACAATCTTAACCTTGTTAAAACTGGGTGACCAGTCAATTCGCAGACAGAAGCATCATCAGGATACCTAGGAATGCTGTTATTACCCATTATAAGTATGACGCGAGGGTCACATATCAGGCAATTACACCTTTTCATTACATGCTAACCCCTCACGGCAGGGATGCCACGCTTATGACTGCATTAGACAGACAAAGCCTTCAGCTCTTTAAAAAAAAAGAAAAGCCAAAAAAAAGCAGGGGGGGCAGAAAAAAAAAGGAAAAGATAAAAAAATTAAATTCGTTTTCTTACCAGCACGTTGCAGCACAAATTCGCTCACAGGAGTGTTGCCTTTACAGGTTTCTCTTTTAATTATCCTGGAAGCAGGGAGACAAAAAAAAAAAAAAAAAAAAAAAAATAAAAAGGCAAAGAAGAAGAAGCAGGGTGGTTAAATTAGCGTGCTGGAATCTTTTCAGTTTGTCGCAGAGTAGAAAAATAAAAAAGGGGGAAAAAAAGGCTCAGTAATTTAAATTTGCTCTCAGTTCAGGCTGCATCGTTGGGTCCCGCCCCTTCTTCCCGCTGGGTTCCACTACCTGCAAGGCTGGAATTGACAGCTACTGTGCAAACAAAAAAAGGAAACAAGCATGCTGGGACCATTCTGACTGCTGTTTGGGTCTCACTTGTCCTGACAACTAAAAATCATCAGTGGAAAGGTATTCTACATTTTCTACTTGAAGGATTTTTGCATGCAATTCCCTTCCATGTTAACGATACACATACAGCTCATGATGATGGGGTTTGATTACTGTTTGGGTTTTCTTTTTTTGCTTTCATTGTTTTGTTTTTCTAAATATGTATAATAATCATAGTTACTGTTATTATTTACATTTTTACTGTTTTCAGCTGTTCAGTGTCATTCTTTGCATTTCTTACTGTCCTGTCCTCCTCTCCAAGACATGTTCTCTCCTGTGTTTTCCTTTCAGTCATAAACACTGAAATTTCTAGGGATGGTAGAAATGCCAAGATTAACAGAGTTGCCACTTCTCATTTGAATGCTTTTTTTTTTCTATTTTTGAGCATTTAGTATTGAGAATAGTTCAAGGGACGGAAGGGCCTAGGAAGGAGATTCCATAAGCACCAGAAACTTTTAAAAAGGATGAGATAATAAGGCAAAAAGCTCATTTTCATATTTATGAATGAGGCAAATAGCTACAAACCATATACGGAGATGGGGTATACATTGCATATTTAACCTTAAGGCGTAGAAAACCACTTTAATTTTAGCCAACGAAATAAAATGGCTACTTCATGTGCAGCATATTCTGTCAGTGTGTAGCAGGAGGAATCATGGGAGATAATAAAGCCCGTCCTTCTGTCAGAACGTAAATAGCTTATGGAGGATTTTCAATAAGTTTTATTGTTGTTGTGGTTGCTGTTTGCTAAACTTTCATTTGAGATGAGGCTGCTGTAGGCTACTTTGGTATGGAAGCTATGACATGCCTGTACATGTACGGATTATCTACACGTTAGCCTCTTCATCTGAAGCACTGCTTCTAGAATGGTATACATAGCACTGGGTCTCCTATGAAAGCACGGACTTTCTTAGATAATCCTCCTGCTCCAACCGAGTACTGTGCTGAGCGGTGTGTCACGTCACATAGTCGGGGTGCGGCGGTTAAGGTGTAAAGGATAAAATGCACATGGTTCTTTGCTAGTGGCTGCTAACATGAAGGAAAGTTATTCGTACAGATGTGACAGCATTTAATTTACTTTTACTTGTTAGTTTTTGTATTTTTAAAAACCTTTTCCCCTTATCCCTACCTCAAGCCATTTAAATGCATTTCACTGTTCCTGCACAATATGGAGAAGCCCTGAAAGCCAACAGTGAGCCTGACCTAAGGGACTTGACTTTTTAAAGTCAGATTTTCAAAAGAGAAATGATTTGCAATGTAACTGAAATAAACATGATTTGGCTTTCTCAATTGGTAAAAACTTAGCTGAATATCAGATATCCACATTGTCATGTGAAATTTCACCCTAAAGTTAAACCAACCAAAAATGGAAAGACTGAGGAAGCAACGAGTAAAACTATATATTTGCCTTGTAGTATAAACTTTATCAGGATTACTTTTCTGGTAGCAATGAATGCCTTTACTCGACTCCCATGAGCAGCTATAGCGTGGAAAAATAAGGCAGCTCAAGTACTCAAGAAGCCATGTTAACTTCCCAGGTAGTTAGGCAATCAGCTTTAATGAAACAGTGGTAAATTACACCAATGTGCTAATTATGGTACTTTGTCACAGCATAAAATGCAATAAAACCAACCCATGTCTTGGCTTGGAAAGTGTTATGCATAGATTTTTTTCAAAAGATTTAACAGAAGAGAGATTTTATTTTCCTAAAGCATTCTGTAATTCCAAGTGGGGTTTTCTCAATCCTTTTCTGTAAAAGAAGGCTTCTAGGAAGATATGTAGAGCTGAAAATATATAGAAGAAAAAATATATGTAGAAGAAAAAATATGTAGAAAAATATGTAGAAGGAAAAAATATGTAGAGCTAGAAAAAAGCAATGATAATGGCTTTTTAAAACTGGTGTCTTACCTTATAATTATACAGTTTTATGATGACATGCCAATATTAAATACTTTGGTATCATTGTGAAAACATAACACACACAGAACATATTAGGATATATACAAATATACACAGAGCTGCACATGTTGGTTTATATTCTGAACATCTCTGTTTTAAATGAAGAAGGATATTTTTATATTGTCAATGCTGACTGAGTGCAGTTAGCAGAATAGCAGTTTCAAGCAAATAAAAAATCCCGACACTGAAACTTAGAGAAGGAATAGGCTTTAAGAAATGTATGAATGAGCCCTGTGATTTCACTAGACATTGAACCTGTGACTGCAGAAGTTACTACTTGGTGTTGGGGGGCCGAGTATCATCTTACTGCATATCTCATAACTAACCTGGGAAAAAAGTCACTTCAAAAATACCCTACTGAATCGTTAGGAGTTCTGGGTAGGGATATACATTTATATGGCTTTCAAATCATGGAAAAGTGCCTTAAAGAAACACATTGAACAAGTGTATTGGAAATGTTTTTTAGAGAAATTCTTTCAATAGCTTTAATGTCATACACTACTTAAATGTTCATTCTTAGAGAAACTTAATGTCAGGATGGGAAATGCTAGTTCATTTTTTTAAAGTGTATCACACGAATACATTTTTATCTTGTCAGTTATAGTTGACAATTTTTTCAAACTTACTGCATATTTTAAAATTATTTATTACTTTTTGATAAATGTCTCCCTCATTCTGGATCAACTCTCTTTAGTGTGATTTCACTGTTTTGTCTTTGGGGCAGTGAAGCCCTTCCTAGTGAATGGCAAAATGTGATCCTGATGTCTTACTGACTACACTACCCAATGAATAATGGTTTTTTATTTCAGTAGGGTTCTGAGAAACTGCTTATATTTATTATATTACTTAATTAATATGATTAATCCCTTTAAATGTGAAAAACTAAAAAATACCTCACCACTGTCATAAAAATATATCTGCTACTCTTGGATTGTCTTTTTTTAAAGTTTATTTATTTACTTTGAGAGAGACAGAGACAATGCCAGTGGGGGAGGGGCAGAGAGAGTGGGATAGAAAGAATCCCAAGCAGGTTCCACATGGGATTTGAACTCATGAAACCATGAGATCATGACCTGAGCCAAAAACCAAGAGTCAGATGCTTAACCAACGGAGCCACCTAGGTGCCTCACTCTTGGGTTGTCTTTTGAAACATGTTTCCATTATTAAATCAATTTCATTAAATTTATGAAAAGCAAGTTTGAGTTTTTGAACACACACTTTACACACACAGACACAGAATTTTGGTTTTAAGGTTTTCACTATCATTTCTCTAGGACCAAGTAAATACCCAGTTCAGTCTGGGTGTTCAGATTATGAAAGTATTAACTCAGAAACTGACACTTGGCCTAGGACAGAACAAAGACTGTAGGGTACCTCAGATTTCCCTACCCTGCTAACTAACATAGTCTCACACAGACAAGCAAACATCTGACAAATGGAAGTATGCTTTTAGATTGAATTCAATGCTGAAGTGTAAGGGAGCCCCTCTGGGTATGAGCTCAAATGGCTAAACATAACGTCTCTTCATTAGTGGTGCCGGGAACACGTGATACCTGAAGAATAACGGTGGTTTAAAATGGGAAACAATGTTAAATTCTATTTATACATTGCTCTTCTGATAGGCATAGCATACACACAAGATGTAAGAAGAGGACCCGGTAAACCACAGGAAATACAGAAAAGAACACCCAACTTAGACATGTAAAAAAATAGAGCACTTTGTTTGTTTTTAAAATTTTTTGATATTTATTTTTGAGAGAGAGAGAGAGAGACACAGAGACAGAGAGCGAGTGGGGGAGGGGCAGAAATGGAGGGAGACAGAATCCGAAGCAGGCTCCAGGTTCCGAGCTGCCAGCACAGAGCCTGACGTGCAGCTGAAACTCATGAACCGTGAGATCATGACCTGAGCTGAAGTTGGATGCTTTGACTCGGCCACCCAGGCACCCCCAAAATAGAGCATTTTGTAGAAATGCTCATTTCTTGATTAAACTGGCTGTTGGAATTTTGTGGAACAGATTGGAAAAGGAGAAAAAGCTTCCTTAAAAATCAGTTGGTGAGAGATTATGGTCTGAGAAAGTTTAAGCAAAGATGAAAGTCCAGGGAAATTCAGGTCCCTGTACTGACCAAGGTGACATAGGGCTTATAGAATACGATCAGTAGAATCCACTGGAAGGAGGGGTGACTTCTCCCTTGGATACAGAGGTGGACAGCAGCACAAGTCACCCTGTGGGGGCTGCAGGGAGGTGCAAGTTTTGCACAGTGAGGGATGGTGTGGCTGGTTTGGAACATGCCCATTTGAGAATTCAGCTGGACAAAGTACAGAAGATAGCCGGTGTCTGACTCTAGCTGCCAAGACAGGGATCAGTGCAGAGGTGATAATGATGAGAGTTATGAGCATAGGGCAGAGAGCACATAATGATGAGCTCTTCAAGAGAGTGCCAAGAAATGAGAGAAGAATTTCAGGGATGGTAAAGGTGGAGCTCAAGTGACAGATGAAGAAGTGACATCAGAGGTGAGAAGAAATGTGGAGCAAGATGGGGTCAAAAGATTCCAGAGCATCAGATTCTTCAAAGATTGCGAATATATATAATCTGGACTGGAATAGACTAGAAAATGCTGAGGAAACAGCAAGCTGAAGGCTCTTGGCAAAGCGATCTCGTTATACTGGTGGTGGGGTCGGCTGCCGGATAGCATTGGTAAGAAAAGGAAATGCCAAAGGCAAAACTTCGTGGAGTTAACTACAACACAACTTAATCTAATTAGAATTTATTAACCATTTTACAGCAGTTCTATTTGGCAATGTGGTCCAGTTTAGGTTGAGATAGTAAGGGATACAATGAAACAAGACTTCCAGGTTCTTATTCTCGATCTAGTTAGAATATATGAAAATCTATTTGGAGTATACTTGGGCTTTTTTCATAAATACAGTAAAGTACTGTAAATGTATTTTCTCTTCCTTATGATTTTCTTAATAGCATTTTATTTTCCTCTAGCTTACCTTATTGTAAGAATACAGTATATAATACATGTAACATAGAAACATGTCAATTGACTACTTTTGT